GAGTAGGGAGGAGCTGGGGCGTCCAGTGAACAGGGCAATGCAGTTATTGAGCCTGGAGGTGATGCAGCTTCTCACAAACTGGTAAGGAACTGGCAAGGGGCTGATGTGGTAGTGAGGAAAAGCAGAGCATGGTTGTTAGTTTTGATGGATAGTTGGGGATCAAACTAAAGTTTCCCCTTCCTTGGGTAAAGATATAAGAATTGAGTGTTAGCGTGTCAAAATAGATCCTTGGGTTTGTATAAGATTAAAAAGGAATGTGTACAGAAATATTATGGAGTATTTTATCCCAGCTATACACCAAGGATCATTGCTGATATCGATGAAGCACCTATGGTTCAGTGAACCCAAAGAGTGCTTTAATTGTTATACAACCACAACAAAATTACATTTGTATAGCGCCTTTCATGTTGAGAGGACATCCCAAGGCGCTGAACAGACAGAGTTACGGACCCGAGCTGGGGGTCGGGGAGGGGGAGGAGGAGGGCAGGGGGTGAAGCAGGGAGATCAAAAGCACGGTTGAAGAGGAGGGTCTTCAGGTGGGTCTTGAAGGTGGCGAGGGAGAGGGCAAAACAGAAGGATTGCGGGATGGAGTTCCAGAGGGTGGGTGAGGAGTGGCGGAAGGCCCGCCGCCAATAGAAAGAGATTACTCAGGTAAACATCAGATCAGGTAGAATGTTTGTATGTGAATTATGTGCTTATTGAGATAAGGGATGTTAGTTCTGGAAAATGCTAAGTCTATTTTGTGGTACCCAGTGTTGGCATCAAACATTGCACTCTCCATTAGGGCTAGAACCATGGCACATGGTATTATGAAATCAGGCCATTTGACCCAGTGCTGTTAAAAACAGTAAAGTTCCCTCTGCTCTGATCCTAACATTATCTCTCTGCTTCCAAGGATGCTTCTTGAAAGTATGAACCACATGTGAATACAGTGTTCTTATCTGCCACCGTTGATAAATGTACTGAACTTGGAGCCAACACCACCATGTTTCAGATTGCAGATCAGCCATTTTTCTCGTTCAAACAGATTTTTTAATAAACGAACAATTACGTACTGTTAGCATATGTCTACTAGAAACTACACTAAGATTACTTGAATGCATTATCATATATAATCCTAATAGCCAACAGAAAGGCTGGATTAAATCCAGATTCTATCTTTGATAAAGAACTGTCCCTAACCCATTGAACCACCTAAAAGAGTTCAATACTGTTGACCGCTCTATCCTCCTCCACCGCCTGTCCTCTCAACTCACTTTCATGGTTCTGTCCTTGAATGGATCAGATCCTACCTTTCACACCGTCTCCACTTCATCTCCACAAACAGTTTCTCCTCTAGCCCCCGCACCGCCTCATGCGGGATTCCTCAGGGCTCTGTCCTTGGTCCCCTCCTCTTCAATATCTATATGCTCCCTCTTGGTTACATTATCCGCAGACATGGGGTCAATTTCCACATGTATACGGATGATACCCAACTCTACCTCTCTGCCTCCAGCCTTGACTCCTGGACCACTGCTGTCCTGACAGAATGTCTGTCAGACATCAAGTCCTGGATGAGAGCTAACTTTCTTCACTTGAACGTCAACAAGACTGAGGCTCTCCTGATTGGCTCCCGTCAGAGCCTCCACATCTCAGGGGCTGACAGCATCACCATCCATGGATGTACACTCCGCCTTACTAAGCCAGTCTGGAACCTTGGCGCCTTGTTTGATCCTCAACTATCTTTTTTACCCCATATCCGTGCCATGACCCGCTTTGCCTTCCCCCATCTCCGCGACATCGCCCAACTCTGCCACTGTCTCACACCGCAGGCTACTGAAACCCTTATACATGGATTTATAATATCCAGACTTGATTATGCAAACTCCTTGTCAGCCTCCCCAACTCTTCCCTCCGTAGGCTGCAGATCATCCATAATTCCTCAACACATGTCCTCTCCCACACCAGGCTGTGTGAACCTATCACCCCCATCCTCGCCCGACTCCACTGGCTTGTCATCGCAGAGAATACAGTTCAAGATCCTGGTCCTTTCCTTCAAAGCTGTCCGTGGGTTTGCTCCCCAACCTCTGTGACCTCCTAACCCCCTACCATCCTGCTCGCTCCCTCCACTCAGCTGGTTCCAATCTACGTCACGTTCCCTCCCTCTAGTCCCACCCTCTGACACTCCATTCTGCGGTTCCTCCACCTCACCCCCTCCCTTGCCTCCTTCAAGACCCATCTTAAGACCCTCCTCTTTGACCGTACCTTTGATTATGGTCTTCGTGACGTGAACGATGCTATACAAATGTAATTTTGTTGTTGTAGTTGCTGTTTTAATTATATATTTATATTTAATTGAAGTGAAAGCAATTTGCTTCATTTGGTGTTAAATATTAACTTTGCAGTTACCTTCTTCTATAACAAGCGTGTAAATTTGTGTTGACCTGCACACTGTGTACTTACATTGAAAGTACTTTACTGAGTGCCAAATGAAAAATAAAACTTCACAGTATTTGAAACTAGAAAATATTTAATTACTTTGAAAACAAGCATTTCACTAATACAAGGTACACATTTCTCAATTTAAACCTTGTAGCATCAAACCTAGCTACGAAAGGAAATTTTGCTTATGGTAATTTTAATTTATCAATAGATTCTTAGAGCAAATTGTAAAATGAATACATTTAAAGCTATTCACTTGTAACAATTAACCATCACCATCACCACCATCAAAACAGATCCTTACATGTTATTTGACTTTCTTTCGTAAAATTCTGAATGAATCACATCCATCAAGATTTGACCATTTGTATATTTTTGACACTTCGATGTGAAATTGGACGTGTCTCTGAAGTGAATAAAGGTGGCCCAAACTAAAAGAGTTGTACCACAGACCACTGGACGTATACAGTCATTCACTCGGATCGCCAAATGCATGAATCTGAAGTACTCTATTGGAGATTTTTTTCTCCCTGCTGGAAATCCTGTATGGGGCTGATTGGAAAATCTTCCTTGAAAAGAACCCTATCCTAGATCGAGGTTGTTGCTGGACTTTATTTTTGCACCGAGCATAGATCGGTTTGTTGTACTTCTGTGTGTAGATTTTGATGATCGCTTTGTTCACCAGATCTGCAAAAGAATGCCCTCACACTTCTGCAAATACAGCACAAGAAATGCAAATAAAGGCAATAAAACTCAATGTTGAACTTTTCATCGTTGATTTTATTTCAGCAGCAAATAATTTAGTGTGGTTTGCAGATTTCAACTGATTTCCTCTGTTCGAGAAATTGTTTGGTAAATCAATGATGAGGTGAAATTTGTGACTCAGAATCTCGGTCACCAACTGTATGTGGTTGAGTGCAGAAATCGAACTTTGAAAGTTGCGCTCTCTACTTTTTTTCCTCTTGGCCTCCTTATAAATTGCATTTTTTTTCCCCAAAAGTTATTCAACTAAGGAAGGGAAGGAAGGATAATATAATAAATACGCTCTGATTGGACCCATCCAGAAGAGCCTCAGTCTCATCAATTTTGAGCTTTAGAAATATAAAACTCATCCAGAACAGTTGATGAGTTAAACAGCGGTATCCCTGAATTGGGTTGGGGCAGAGAGATAGATTGGGTATCATCCATATATATGTGGAAGTGGATCCCTTGCCCACAGATAATGTCACCAAGGAGGAGCATATAGATAGTGTAGAGAACTTAGGACAGAGGATAGAAGAAGACGCTATTGGATGTGACTGTGCAGAGGATAGGAGAAGAAGCTATCGGAAGAGACAAAGTGAAGATGGTGGTAAGAGTGAAACTAGGAAAGTTTGGAAGGGAAGGGCAGTTTGGAAATGGGGTGGTATTTCACAAACATGAAGGAGTCCAGTTATACTTTCTTGAAAGGGGAGACTGACATTATTGACTCAATGGGACAAATGGCCTTCTCCTGCCCTGTAAATTTCTAATGGTAGTTTTGAAGATGTGGTGGCATGTTGGTCACTGATACTGGGAGTAACCTCCTTTGCTTTTCAAATTAGTATCATGGGATCTTTCATGATCGCCTAAGCAGCCAAATGGTACCTTAGTTAAACATCTCTTCCAAAGGATGACACCTCTAACAGTGCAACACCTAGCAGTGCATTGGAGTGTCAGCAGAGACTACATGGGTTCCAAGTTTTCATGTGGGGCTTGAACCCACAACCTTCTGATTCAGAAGCCAGAGTGTTACCAACTGAGCTAGACTGACACACAATTGTTATAACATTGGGGAGGTGACAATGCTGCCAGTAGTAAAATCAATGATTATCATTATCAGATGAGAGAAAAGAACACAATGACATTTCTAGTTAGCTGATCACTCTCACTGTTTTACAGGTGATGCATTTGTCTGCCTAGGAGACTGACTTTTGTAATATTTCACATTCTAGACGGAATCACCTCAAGACTAGTTTATGCTACAAAACTGTTTGTGCAGCAACCAGTTTTGTAAGACAAATATATCTCATATAAACTGCTGTAATGGGGTTGAGCTTTCCATTTCCAAAATAATAGGCTAATCAGCAAAAGGGTAGATTTCCAATAGCAAGTGCATATGTTTTACAATCAAATCTAGGACGATAGATGGCATTTCCAATGCACGGACAAAAGCAATTTCATGATTAAGCATCTTTCGTTGAGGAAAACTGAAATTATTTTACTGAAGTGCTGGGACTACAAGTTATCATTGGAATACAGTGAGACAATAAGGTACTCATTACACATAACATCTGCGAATGTTTCATTTTAGCAGCTAATGAGAAGAGAAAAGAAACCGAATTATAGATGTATTTAAGAGGAAACTCGGTATACAAATGCCAAAGAAGGGAATAGAAGGATACGGAACAAAGTAAGGAGTGGGTGAAGATTTGTGGGGTAGTAAACACCAGCGCCAGCTGTTTTGGGCTTAATGACCTTTTTCCGTGTCATACAGTCTATGTAAATCTATGAATTTGATAATTTCTTAAGAAAGCCGATAATGAAAATCTGACACTTGGTTAAGTTGAAGCAATAGAATTCCAAAACTCAACTGTACTGACTCTGATGACACAGCAAGCTATAGGCCTCCCTGAGTTTCCATCCTGAAGACTTCCACTATCCCCACCTTGTCCCAAGTCATCCACACCATTATGCAAGACCACACCTCGGCTAAGAATTGAATTAATGCCAAACAAGGTCACCTTGAGACCAGTGAGGCGTTTAACAATTTTCCCACCAGTTACTTCGAAATTGTTGAAGTCTCCAGGGTGATTGGGGTGGTTTGTATTGAAGGGGTTGTAGTGTTTACCCGTGGATTCACAGCTGTCCCACACAGATCCGAGCTCATGGACATGCATTGGATGCTTGATGCTGCTAGAAGGAAATCCTTGCAAGTTGAAATAGCCTTCTACACCGCTTTTTGGATCTAGTTGTTTGAAGAGAACGTGTCCTGTGATCCTTGGCTGACCAGGTTGGGAATTCTTGTTAGGAAACATTCGACACGCAGCATACGCAGGGCCTTGATTCTTTGCAAGAAGCTCATTAAACACTATCTCCAAAGGAATCCCAGCACCCGCGAAGGGATCTGGTAGACAACCCACTCGTATCCCTGCATAAGATAGCACCAGAGCCCCGAGTGAAATAAGCAGACTCCCAGGGGAACTCTTCATCATCCGTTCTATTGTGGGGCAAATCTTGCCAATTGTAGTTGCTGGTTGCAACTGATCTCTTCTGTTTTGCTCTCAGTGACAAGGTTTGTTCCTTGACTTGGCATCTCAGGCTAATTCTGAGTAAGTGCAGGGTCCGAATGATATAACTTTGAAAGTTGCACACTGCACTTAGTTTATTTGCACTCGGTCTTTATAAATTACAGTTGTCTTATTACCAGAAGCTAGTCAACCGTGTGAGAGCAGAATTGAAACAAACTTGTTATTCAACCAAGGCAGAACTGTGAGACATGATTGAGAAATGTACAAGGGGAGATATCTGTGTAAAATTCATAGTATGTCCTGTGAAGTGCTTTGGGACGTCCTCCCGACGTGAAAAGCGCTATATCAAATGCGAGGATTATTATTATTATTAAATAGAGATATTGGTATTGTGTGAAGCCTGATCATCACATCATATTTGCTCAGTGTTTAGAGCATTCACCTCACAAGCGAGAAACCTGGGTTCAATTCCTGACAGGGCGAATGTTGGGTAAGTTTCCTTACTCCACACGACTGATAATAATCACTTAAGAAAAAAAACAATAACAAATTGGTCACTCAATCCATGACTGTTTGTGGGGCACTGCTGTGTGCAATTGGCTGCTGCATTTCGCCCACAAATATACAGTCAATTACTTTACAGTATATTCTGTGAAGCTCTTTAAGACGTCTAGAGGATGTGAAAAGCACTATACAAAATACAAGGATTATTATTATTATCATTATCATTTATTTTACTCCATCAGGTTTTCCTTCAACAGCAACAACTTGAATTTATAAAGCGCTCTGTTTGCTGGGCAGTGTCTCGGAGTGTGTTATCTACCTTAACAGTGGCAGAGCCTGACGTTGAACCAGGGAAAGGGAAGGGGTAACAATAAGCATGGTCGAAGAGGAAGGTCTTCAATTGTAATCTAAAAGAGAGAAAGGAGGGCCCACTGTTGAGGGATTGGTGGAGAGAGTTCCAAAGCTTAGAGTTTCAAAGGGTAAGTTTAAATAAAAGTGTACAATGGAATTATGCAGTCCACAACAGTAGTATGTGATACCAGTGAACTTAGGCTTCTTTGAAAGAATTTATATTAAGATTCATTCTCGGCTGGAATGAAACTAGAAAGCATTTCACAAGATTTCAAAAGAGGTACAAATGAAGAAAGCCTTACCAAATTATGACTGTCCTTCAATGTTGGGGTGGGGAGAAGGGGGCGTCAGGGAGGTAAAGTGAAGCTAAATTGCCATTTTCCTCGTCTTGCCTTTTCTTCATCACACCCTTTTCCCTACATCTTCCTACACTGCCCCTCTTCCACACTGATAACCAACATGAAACCCACCACCAACTCCTTGATCCCCACCTAGATGTTAACCACCGAATTGCCCCACCTATGCCCCCTGCTAGCAGATACTATCAACCTGTTTCTCTCTTCTGGCACTGTCCTACTTCCTTTCAAAACTGCTGTCATCATTTCCTCCTCAAAAAACTTACCCTTGATCCTTACAAACTCTTCAACAACCAGCCCATCTCCAATCTACCTTTCCTAGTCCTGGAATGTGTTGTTGCTCCTCTGTTCCGCTCTCAACATTTCCTCCATTCCCTGCTGTAGCCCCTCTGGTCTGTTTTCCACCCTGCCATAGCCCTAAGGCAGCCATCATCATAGGCACCAATGATGTACTCTACCTCTACGGTGAAGACACCCTCTGCCACCTTGTTTTCCTTGTCCTCTCATCCGCTTTTGACACTATTGACTATTTTATCCTCTTTGATCACTTTTTGTCCCTCATTACCTTCATCGTCAGTCCTCGGGTTTGCGTGATCACACAGATGTAGCCAAGGGGTTTCTTGCTCTTACAGCTGACGTCATAAGGAAACTGAAGCTGCAAGGCACTCACCCCTGAAGAGCTATGGACGGTATTAATGCTGAATTTCTAAAAGCTGCTCCGAGGGGATTAATCGAGAATGGTTATGCTGCCCTTGGAACTGCCCTCCTAACATTGGCCAACAGGACTCTCTCTGAGGCATACACTTTGTCAGTGTTCTAGAGAGCAATTGCAATTTTGTTTTTTATCCACACGAAGGGTCACCCTAGTGACATCGAGAACTGAGAAGGGATCTCATTGATTTCAGTTGCTCTTAAAGTGGTGATTTGGACGATCACTGCACATGTATCACACACACTGGAGACTCATGATTTGATCAGGAATGAAAAGATAGTTTCTGTTCTCACGAGGAATATATAGGGCAGGTTGTGGATATGTCTGAGATTGCAGAACATTAGAAGGCTAACTGGAAATACACCTATGTTGCATTCATTGACGTCTGCAATGCTTTTGACCTCATGAGGCCCTCATGATGAAACGAGAAAGCATGGGAGTACATGGTAAAATCTTGGATTTATCAAGAATGTGTATTCCAGCTCCAAGATCCATGTAACAACAACAACAACAACAAGATTCCATTTATAGAGCGCCTTTCACGTCGGGAGGACGTCCCAAGGCGTTGTACAGTTGGGTCAGGACCCGAGCAAGGGGGGAAATGGTCAGGGTGAGGGGAGAGAAGGGAGGGAGCGAGGAGGGGGTAGAGAGTCGAGAGGGGAGCTGAAGGCGCGGCATGTAAGGGTTGAGAGTTGACTCACTGAGCCCATCCCTATTGAAACAGGGGTAAGGCAAAGCTGACCATTGTTACACACTCTATTAATTACAGTATTCATCAATTACATGTTGGATGGCATCGAGGGGGAAGGTCTTGGGTGTATCTGATCCAAGCCTTTCTGACAAGGTTGCGGCGCTTCTGTTTGCAGATGATATTGTGCTGCTGGTGGACTCACCTGGGGACCTTTTGTGCTGCATTCGCCAGCTTGAACACTGGGCCACAAAGTGCATTTATGGGCTGCAATCCTGCGATCCCAAAATCCAAGGATTTGTTGAAGGGAATCAACAACAACAACAAAATTCCATTTATAGAGCGACTTTCACGTCGGGAGGACATCCCAAGGCGCTGGACAGTTGGATCAGGACCCGAGCAGGGAGGAAATGGTCAGGGTGAGGGGAAGGAAGGAAGGGAGCGAGGTGGTTGTAGAGAGTCGAGAGGGTGCTAAAGGCACGGTCAAAGAGAAAGGTCTTGAGACCGGCCTTGAAGGAGGAAAGGGAGGAAGCGGCGAAGGCACTGGGGGATAGAGTTCCAGACCCTAGGGGCTGAGAGGCTGAAGGCCTGGCCACCGATGGTAGGGCGGTTGGGGCGGGGGATGTGGAGCAGACCGGAGCCAGAGGAACGGAGGGTACGGGCAGGTAAGAAGGTGGATAGTAGGTCGGAGAGATAGGAGGGAGCAAGGTCGTGAATGGCCTTGTAGGTGAGGGTGAGGATCTTGAATTCGATCCTCTGGGGGATGGGGAGCCAGTGGAGGCGAGCGAGGGTGGGAGTGATGTGGTCCCGAAGCCTGGTGCGGGACAGTACACGAGCTGCAGAGTTCTGAATGACCTGCAGCTTGTGGAGGGAGGTGCCGGGAAGGCCGGCGAGGAGAGAGTTCCCATAGCCCAGCCTTGTGGTGATAAAGGCGTGGACCAGTTTCAGCAGTGTGAGGGGTGAGGTAGTGCCGTAGTCTGGCGACGTTTCGGAGGTGATGGAAGGCGGTGCCAGTTGTGGCGCGGATATGAGGAAGAAAGTACAGCTCAGGGTCGAACAGAACCCCGAGGTTCCTGAGCGGCTTTGAGAGGTGGAGAGTGCAGCCTTGGATGCTGATGCTGTCAGCGCCTGAGGTGTGGAGGCGCTGACGTGAGCCAATCAGGAGGGCCTCAGTTTTGCGCACGTTGAGCTGAAGAAAGTTATCTCTCGTCCAGAACTCGATGTTGGACAGGCAGACTGTCAGGACATCGGTGGTCGTGGAGTTGAGGGTAGAGGAGGAAAGGTAGAGTTGGGTGTCATCCGCATACATGTGGAAGTTAACCCCATGTCTGCGGATGATGTCACCAAGGGGGAGCATATAGAGGGTGAAGAGGAGGGGACCAAGGACAGAGCCCTGAGGGACACCGCACGAGACAGTGCGGGGGTGGAGGAAAAGCCGTTTGTGGAAACAAAATGAAGAGGATGGGAGAGGTACGACCTAAACACTTAAGGACAGGGCCTTGAAGGTTGAGGTGGGAGGACAAGCGGTGGAGGAGGATAGCGTGGTTGACTGTATCGAATGCTGCCGATAGGTCGAGGAGGACGAGGAGGGAGAGGGAGCCCTGGTCGCAGATGGTCAAGATGTCATTGATGATCTTGACCAGGTCGGTATCTGTGCTATGGGCAGCACGGAAACCCGACTGAAGGGGTTCGAATAATGAATGGTTGGAGAGGAAAGAGCGCAGCTGGGAGGCGAAAACTCTTTCAAGGACCTTGGACAGGAAGGGGAGGTTGGAGATGGGCCGGTAGCTTGTTAGCTGTGATGCATCAAGGGAGGGTTTTTTCAAAGTGGGAGTGATGATGGCAGTTTTTAGGGGAATGGGAACAGAGCCAGAGGAGAGGGACAGGTTGATGATGTCTGTGATAAGTGGGGCAAGGGGGTGGAGTTGAGAGATGTGGAGTGGGGATGGGGTCAAGGGAGCAGGTGGTGGGTTTCAGGGACAGGATGAGTTTGGTGACAGAGGGTGGGGAAACGGGTTCGAAGGTGTGTAGGGGAGGATGGGTAGGAGTCGGAGTATGGGAGGGAAGGGGTGGGGGGTGGGTGGAAGTTGGAATGGGAGTGACCACGCTCCGCCCCCACACACACCCACAGCCCCACCCCCCACACCCTAGCTGAACTCCCTGCCGCCTCGTGCTTTATAGTACCTGAGAAGGTAGGCCCAGGCTCCTCCCCGCGCTGTCCTGCCCCTGCTCCCTGCAGAATCTTGGGTATTTGGGGATTGTGTAAAGACTTGAGCTTGGACAAAAGGGGAGGGCAGGTCTTCTTAGTCCACTACAACCTGGGCACCTTCCCTGCAAGGTACCGTCTGAG